TGTATCTGCCTTAACATTAGGCATCTTCCTGTCAACATGCCTATCTCCTTTATGGACTCTGCAGTTGCTTTATCCCCAAGTTTGCCCAATAGCGTATGCCCAGCTAGGGGCCTCATCTGTTTCCATAGGGACAGCAGGTTCAAATCACCTGGTATGTGAGTCCACTGAATATTTTGGAAGCTAATCCACAAAGGAATAGGTACATTGACAGGAAGACTCATAATGCTAAGATAAAGCCAAGGAGGAAAATGGGAGAACTGAACAGGAAGTTAGAAAGCATGGGATACAAACAGAAAGATCAGCAGAACCAGCAATAGCCAGGAACAGGGTAGGTGTCTCTGATGAGTTTAAGGCAGTGGTTCTGAATTCTTGGGCTTCACTACCTCTGGTACTTAAAAGGGGGCAGCACAAACTAGGTCTTAAGGCACATTGTGACTATGGCAGCTTCATGCTTTTGAGTGTGTGCAAAACAACTTTAAATTGGTGGCCATGTTCTTTTAAGTAATTATGCATGTGTTACAGGGACTGAATTGCCAGAAAGCCCTCTCCCCACACTTTCGGTCTATGTCTGAAAATGCACATCAATATTCACGCATGAGTTTTCAGCCTCCATGGGAAGTCCCACAGGAAATCAGGAAAGAAAACACTGATCATGCCTTACTGCCATGCTCTTAACTTCCTATGTACTCAAGTCTTCCCATAATCCTTTCCTGTAGTGGCACAGTGGCCTCCATCTTATTTCTGTGAAATGAGGGGACCCAAGTTTATTCAGCACCTACTAGGCACCAGGCTCTCTGCTTCCTACATGGTGGCTTTGATCATACTTTATTCATAACCAGATGTCAGCAGACATCCTCTGAGACTGAAATCAATTAACCCAAGCCCTTCATCATGTACTACTAAAACTCCAGTGTTTTCCCTGGGATTTTTGTGCATGTCCAGACATGTCACAGTCACCTCTGGCTCTGATTTCCTATTTCTTCTGCATTCTTATTGTCATTCTGGTCTTAAGTACATGGCTGTTGTCTTCCCTATATTCCAAGCTGACCCAGATGAGGAACTCACTCCTCAAAACCATTCCAACAAAGCATTTCTAAAATCACAGACTTTTTTGAAAACGTAGAGAAGCGATGGTGGTTTATATGACAGCAATGAAAAATAACATAACATCAAACAGTTAAAACCCCTGTTTTAAAGTCCTTCAGCCACTCTGGCGCTGGGAATTATTTGGTGAGAATTTCAACTTCTTGACTAGTTTCCCCAGCTCTTTTTGTCTCCAGTCTTCCTTTTCACCCTGGTCCTCCATTTTCTATTCTGCCCTCAACTCCTCTTGGATTATAGCTCAGAGAATTTTCGCTCTTCTCCCCTTCCTAACTCTAGACATAATTTATATTTCCAAAAGCTCACTAACATTTCCCCTACCCAAACGGCCAGTTATTCTGGGTCTTGCCCTTTAGCTCCACGGAATAACTGGTAGAGCCTTTGAAATCTCAATATTCTTTTCCTTCCTTCCTGCTTTCCTCAGTAAGCAGAAGGGGCAACCTAAATATGTATCTTCCTACTGACATAATCTGTGCCTGCCTGCCTGAGAAAGAAGAAGCAGACTCAGTGAGTCTGAATGGCATTTTCCCCTTGCTCCAACATTCAGAGACAAGGAAATTAACAGAGAGAGCATTCACAAATACAGCGCCAGAACCCAGGGTGGGCTAAATAACAACCCATACGTTTTCTACCATGTTGTTTTTTCAGAACAGATGGTGGTCAGATGAGTCTCCATTAATTACTAAATTAAGGAAACATGGGGGAAAAGAGCAGGAGAGTGAAGGAAAGGTGGAAGAAGACAGAGGAATTGTCAATGACACTGAAATTGAGTTTGTGATTGAAGTTTTTCTTTGCATTCATGTAGAGTAAGGGGCGGGGGGGATGTGAGGAGTCAGGAGACAGAACTGAACATTTGCTGTTAATTTGTTTCTCAATGCAAAGGAGGCAATTTGAGGGAAAATAGTCTTTCTCCCAACGCTGAATGTATGCTTATAGCAAGCCATGTGCAAAGCAGCTGTTCAACAAAAATGATAGGCAGGTATCTATAAACTCTAATTTATCAAAATAATTCTCTGCTTCCCTGAACTGTTTGCCCTGGCCTTTATTTTCCCCTTTGTATCTGAAATCTCTCAAAAAAGCAAAAACAAACGCCTTCTTTGGAATTCCTAGCTGCAAACTCTTAAAAATACATATATTTATTGGCTGACATGGGCTTTCCCCCCCTATTAACTCTCTAATACAATCAGAAGTTAAAGGAATTTAGAAGTTATAAAATAATGTGCTAGTCTGATGATGTAAATTATGAACATTATTCCAAAATTACGTATTTTCATACCTCAGTAAAACCCACAATGCATCACGCCGAAAATTATAACTTTTCTTGAAGCCACTTTGTGCTGCACCCACCCTTTAGCCCGGGAACTCAGCAAAATCCTGGAACCAAAGATAATAAAGTTCTGACGTGACCTGATCCAGGTGTGCCTGGACCTGTGTGGGACTGCAGTCTGTGGCCAAAGCACATGCATAGTTAAGCATGTCCTTGCTAAACTCCCCACTGAGAGGTAAGAGCACATATCATTCCTCAGCTGCGAGGAATCAACAAATGCAGCAAGATCTATGTTAGCGAGTATCAGTACTATGCCTTATTTAGTACCCCAAGAAAGAAAGCGTGAAAGCCTTTCACGCTTCTGCTGAATGGGTTCAGCAGAATTTAGTGGTCTCTCGAATAGCCTAACTCTGCATTTTTGAAATACAGGAACAACAGTTTATTTCAAGCAAGTTGTTTTTCCCCCAAACTGTGTTCCATGGCTGTATTCTACTTTCGAAATAGATATCGAATATATATATAGAAGTCAGAAATATATACAGAAATCCTTTCGGTTTATTATTGCGGTGGAGGTAAGCGAAGTAATTGTTATATCTCCGTTGCCATCATTCCGATGAAGCCAAAGAAACACAGGTTTTCACATGTTTTAGTATCTGTATTTAATTTTTAAAATAAATATATTTTAAGGGGCGCCTGGGAGGCTCAGTCGGTTAAGCGTCCGACTTCGGCTCAGGTCATGATCTCACGGTTCGTGGGTTCGAGCCCCGCATCGGGCTCTGTGCTGACAGCTCAGAGCCTGAAGCCTGTTTCAGATTCTGTGTCTCCCTCTCTCTCTCTGCCCCTCCCCCACTCGCGCTCTGTCTCCCTCAGTCTCAAAAATAAATAAACATTAAAAAAAAAGTAAAACAAATATATTTTGAATTTATCTTCCTCCATGAGGCGGAAGAATGAAAAATGTCCCCTGTAAGCTTTGTGGTATAGTAACTTGCTATTTTAACCTCAAGATGCCATCCACGTTTCATAATGTAATTTCCCATTTCTAAAAGGACAGTGATGAGATGATCTGACCTTTACATATTCCTGTTTGATTTCTATCTCAGTGTCAGTGGGAAAAATAAGAAGAGCTAAATATACCTGAGCCTTTTCTGTCTTCTCTACCCAGAAATGGGTTGTCTAATTAGCTTCCCTACTCTCCCCACCAAGAAACAGTTGGCATGCTGCCCCCCTCCTGTTTGTTGCCGCCTGCCCCCATTAGAGAATCCTGGAGTGGAGAGCAATTCTTTCTTTCCGCTTGCAGGAAATCTTGTGAATTGAAAAATAACAGATTTTAGATTTTCTGGGTCTTCGTCTTGAACTCAAACAAAGAAATCACCCTTGCAGGCAAACCTGACAGGAAAAATGTTGTGTTGCCTGCTTTATGGACCATGACAAGGATGTCAATGGAGGGAGAAGCAAGAAACTGGGCTCCCACCAAACGACACTCTCCTCTGGTGTGAGTCATTTTTTTTTTTAAGTCTTTGAACATGCAAAGATTAAGAAGTAAGGCTCTGTCCAGGGAAATACAGACAGTCTCTGACTTATGATGGTTCTACTTATGATTTTTTTTTTTTTTTGACTTTTGGAGGGTGCAAAAAACGATAGGCATTCAGCAGAAACCACGCTTGGAATCTTGAATTTGGATGTTTTCCCAGGCTAGTGATACGCAGTGTGATACTCTCGTAACGCTGGGCTGCAACAGCGACAGCAGTCCCAGCTCCCAGTCAGCCGGAAGATCAGGAACAATCGTCAGCAGCCCATACACTGACTCCCATCCTGTACCCAGACAACCATTCTGCTTCTCACTGTCAATACCATCTTCAATAAATTACATGAGATATTCAGCACTCACTTATAAAATTGGCTTTGGAGATGATTTTACCCAACAGTAGGCAAATAGGAGAATTCTGGGGTGCGTAAGATACACTATGCCAAGCTACGATGTCCGGGAAGCTGCGAATATTAAATACATTTCCAGCTAAGGATACTTTCAACTTACAATGGGTCAAGGAGATGTAACTCCATCCTCAGGTTGAGAAAGATCTGTAATCCTGCTGAACCGGATCAGGAATGCCAACTACTCCTATGCATATGCTTATTTTGAGCCCTGAAAGTCAAAACTTGATCCTTTCTTTAAATTTTTTAAAGTTTATTTATTTATTTTGAGAGAGACAGACACAGTACAAGTGAAGAAGGGGCAGATAGAGAGGAAGAGAAAATCCTAAGCAGGCTCTCCACTGGCAGTGCAGAGCCCCACACACAAAACCAGGAAATCATGACGTGAGCTGAAAACAAGAGTCAGAAGCTCAACCGACTGAACCACCCAGGAACCCCAAAACTTGATCCTTTTGAGTAGGATTCTGCCTGACCTTTCATGTAGAGGGAAAAAAAAATCTGTTTTTATAACACAATTCAGACCAGAGTGAACTCTAAAACAGAAAGAATTGATGGCTGGATAATATGAGAAGGGGCATATGATATTGTGATTTAGAATAAGAAATACATATTTGGTCTCCCCTCACCCACCCCTGCCCCCGTATTTTCTGCCACAGAGCTCCTCAGATGGAGTTCGGAGAGATTCCCACTTGGCGAGCACATTGGAGGTGCTGGGACAACACTATTCCTGGAGAGGACATAGAAGCCTTTCCTTATATCTTGTCTCATGCATCTCTGTCATCTGGTTATTTCTGATAAAATATTTCTTTTATAATAAACTGTCATCTATAAGTAAAATGCTTCTCTGAGTTCTATCAGCCACTACAGCAAAAAAGTATCAAACCCAAGGAGGAGATCATGGGAACCTCTGATTTAATGCCAGTCAGTCAGAAGTACAGGGAAAAACGAGGGTTTGCGACTAGAATCTGAAGTGGGAGACAGTCTTGTAGGGTTGAACTTTAACCTGGAGAACCTGATGATATCTCAAGATAGATAGTGTCAGAATTAAGTTGAACTATAGGACACCCAGCTAGTTTCCAAAGAATTGCTTGTTGTATGTGTGCAGAATCACTCCCTGCCCCAACACACACACATTGGATTTGGGTCCCAGAACCAAAGAGGGGGGTTAGATGTATGACTCTGAAGTCAAACAGGCCTGAACTTTAAACACAACTCCATCTCAAATGTCCCAGAGCCTTACTATTCTCAGTTCTTTCTCTGTGGAAGAGAGATATTAAATATTCCTATCTCAGGTGGCTCTTGTAAAAACTGATTTCAAATACTTATTCTGATACCCAATACATGGTATGTATTCATTATATTTAATAACTTTCTATTCTTAACATTAAGAGTTACCCTTTTTCCCAGGACTAAATCCTGATGTAATAATGTGTACACAGACTTGAATTGAATGCATTATATTTCAATTTAATTCAACATAATTTTATTCAGCCTGCCCTGTGCAGAAGGCATTTATTAGGCACAATCTTTAAGAAGCTCTCATTACAGGAAACTCTTGGCATTTGAGGATTTAATATCTCCTGCATCTCTCTTCTTCATTAACTACCCCGAAAGTTAGTGACATGGCAACTTTTTCTGAGATAGAAGTTTGAGTAACATGCACTATAAGGTCAATAAGTTAGCTGTTCCAGAAAGAGCCACTGAATTAATGACAGCCCAGCCAAGTGCCCTGTTCACATGCTCTGAGTGTGTGGTTGTAATCCTCTTAACTAAGTATATACTGCAAAAGTAATCAAAATGTGGGGATTTTTGAAGATCTTACAATGAATTGTTTGTAACTATCAAGTAAAAATCTTCGAAGTTCATTCAAATTTCTCAATTGGGAAGGGTCTTAGAGAAAGGCTCTTTCTTATGTCGCCCTCTTGCCTTTAGACAGAAGAGCCATATAAGCCAACTGGGACAGATATAATTAACTTTTCTTGTTCTGAGGCTTTCTAAGGATGGACACTTCCCAGATACTCTTCATAGCTCCTTCCAGCATCTTCTTACTCATTACAGTCAAGATGTTCTTCCTTATGTCCAATCTAAACTTTGCTTCTTTTTTCAAGTTGAGTTCTCTCAGCGGCAGCATCAAATCCATTTTCTCTCTCTATTTCCAGTAAGTACCTTACACAGCACTTTAAGTGACACCTTGCATTAAATCGCCCAATGTGACTTAAATCCGTGAATGGATCAAACGTTTTCATAACCTAAAGACGTTAATCAAGGTACTCTTTAATCTTTTTAAAGTTTAACTTTGAGCTAAGTAATATCGATTGCTAATGCATTTCATTGTAGGACACATTTTGCTAACTATTAATCGTGTTTCCTAATCTTTGAAACCTACATTTAAATGTTATTAGAGGGGTGCCTGGGTGGTTCAGTTGGTTAAGTGTTTGACTCTTGATTGGCTCAGATCATGATCTTAGGGATTCATGAGTTCAAGCCCACATTGGGCTCTGCACTAGAGCCTGCTTAGGAGTCTCTCTCTTTCTCTCTCTCTCTCTCTCTCTCACTGACCTTCCCCCTCAAGATAAATAAATCAACTTAAAAATGTTATTGGAAATAATGATGCTTTCTGACCTCATTTCATGACAAAACTACCACACACAGACTATGAAGGCATCTTCAGATCTGGCATGCAGATCACAGACTTGAGTGCAAATCACAGCTCTATCACTTATTAGTTGTGTAACTTTGGGGAAGTTACTTAACTTTATTATGTCTCAGTCTCCTTACCCATAAGATAGAAATAATAATGAGGGGCATGTGGGTGACTTGGTCAGTTAAGCATCTGACTCTTGGTTTTGGCTCAGATCGTGATCTCCTGCTTTGTGGGTTCAAGCCCCATGTAGGGCTCCATGCTGCCAGTGTGGAGCCTGCTTGGGATTATCTCTCTTCCTCTCTCTTTGCCCCTCCTCTCCTCTCTCCTTCAAAATAAATAAACATTTAAAATGAATGTTTTATAACATAACAAATAAAATAAACATTTAAAAAAATGAAAAAATAAAATACTTCTCCCTTAAAAAAAAAGAAACAATAGTGACATACTTCATATGGCTGCATGACGGATTAAATGGGTTAATAATTATAAAGTACTCAAATGGTACCTGTTTTGTAGAAGTGCTCAATAAGTATCAATTTTCATTATAAAGATGCAGGAATGATTTTCCAAGCCTTAAAATTCAAATATTGTTAGTGAATTTCTCTCTTCTTGAGTACTCTTAGTATTCTTATCTCTCTACAGTCTTTTTAGTTCTATTTTCTCTGCCTGGAATACTCATCATCTTCCTACCTACATGATCTCATCTTGAACATCTCAGCGTGTTTGCATTTTCTCTGTGATGTCCTGAATTGTGATCTCATCTTCAGGGCACTTTTTTTTAGTGCTACTTGTGGTCAATTATGACCTCATGAAGACAGTTACTTTTTCTTAACTTACCCTCTCCATGAGATTTTTGGATGTTCCTTGAAGGAATAAAGTAAATGCTACAATTTTTAATAACCTTTCACAATTCTTAGCTCTTATGAAGTTCTTGGTAAGCAAAAGTAAGTTGATAGACGATATTTTAATTTGATTATCTCAAACTTTAGGATAAAAACTCTTATTATCTTATCTCATCCACATAATTCTATGTTGATATTGACATATAAAGCACTCATAACAGTGCCTCATACACAGTAAGTGCCCAATAAAGAAGAAGCATCAGTTTAAAAAATAACCAATATTTTCCCCAAGCCTGGGAGCACATTATCTTATTTTGCTTTTAATGACCTAAGAAGAAAGTAACACTTATCCTCATCTTAAAGACGAAAAAATTCAGGCTTTCAGTGTCACAAAATGATCGTAGTCTTGACTTTCCCAGCATTGTGTTGGTTACACTTCCTGTCCCAGGTAATATTAACAGTGTTCCCTTTTATTCTCAAAAGTGCATGCTTAGAAAACAAATTATATCATTACTCTAAAGTTAATGTCAAGGTAACAGATCCTGCAGGTGGAGGGTCTGTAATTGAAGAAATCAACTCCAGAGCCCTAGGCTCTGCCTGTGGAAAACACAGGTTTTCCTAGGCTAAGCCTATGGAAAACCACATTACCAGGGAGTAATACAAAATATGAAATTTAGAGAGGTATGGGAGGACCCTACACAGACTGAAACTTTAAGTTTGAGAAGTGAGAACCAAGAGGAAGTCAACGAAATTTTCCATTTCTTTCTCTCAGATCTCACAGAATAGTTTCACAATTAGAAGTACTATAAATTTCGGGGCGCCTGGGTGGCGCAGTCGGTTGGGCGTCCGACTTCAGCCAGGTCACGATCTCGCGGTCCGTGAGTTCGAGCCCCGCGTCAGGCTCTGGGCTGATGGCTCAGAGCCTGGAGCCTGTTTCCGATTCTGTGTCTCCCTCTCTCTCTGCCCCTCCCCCGTTCATGCTCTGTCTCTCTCTGTCCCAAAAATAAATAAACGTTGAAAAAAAAATTAAAAAAAAAAAAAGTACTATAAATTTCAACTGCATGATGAAAACCCCAATATTAAACAAAAATACTATATTTGATTATTCATGTTGTGAATCAATGTTACTCTTGATGTCCTGGCATTAAAGACAGAGAAATTCATTATAAGCTTTGGAGATGATGGTAAAATAATGAAAATACCAGCATTTAATATTTATATAGTAATTTGCATTTTATATATCACATATACAGACCATATATTTGTATATGATTTATTTCTTTTGATTCTCACAGCTCCCTGAAATAGGTGAAGCAGAAATTATTATTTCCATTTTACATGAAACTGAGAATCAAGGGGCTTAAGTCACAAGATTTATGCTTGAGAGTATAAATGAGGATACAACATCATCCTGACATTTTAAAGTGATTTAAAATTATTCAAATATAACTTGACAGAAGCACATTCAAGGGGAATGTACTTCAGGAGAAAAACCAAAATTATATACGCCAGATGGGGAGTGTCTGGACTTAAAAAGTTGCCAGTATGCTGCCCACTAGACACTGATTTTAACTATAAGATTCATTGTCTACAAAGTTATTAAAACTACAAGATATTATCCTATAATTAAAACTGCCAGATATTATCATCACCTTGCCCATCAGTATGGATGGTACATCTCCAGAGAATGGAGGTGAGTTTGTTGATTTCACATCTCAGGTTACAAAATATCAGGCATTGCTGTCAGATCAAGCAAAATACATTTTGAGGGCAGAGGATCAGTGTGGACCACACAAATGCTGTCTCAGCACACCTCAGTCACTTTTTCTAGCTGTTTCATATCGGCTCCCAAAGTCAGGAAACCGCTAATTCTAAGAAAAGTATGAAATAACTCCTGTTTCCTTCCTCTCTTCGTATCCTTTTCTAATCTTTGTCTCTTAAGCAAACCTATTCCCTCACTAAACCATTCCTTCACACTCTGATGTAAACACAGGAACTAAACTCTGGCATTATTGTTGCCTCTCTCTGGGGTTATTTGCAATTCAGCAGTAATCAAAACTGAGGGTATCAGGAACAAATGATGGCATTTTAAGCTGTTAGCTTCCCACTGGTACTCCCTACCTAAATACCAACAGAATCCCATATTTTGCCTCAATAACAAACCTCCAGTCAGTGAGACCTAACAGTATTGGAAAAGAATAATAGCAACTGCTTTGTTTGAGTT